GGCCACTGCACTCCAGTCTGGGCAACAGAGTGAGACTCCAACTCAAAAAAAAAAAATCACAACAATGTCTTTTTTCAGATTCACAGATTAGAAGGCCTCTAGGCTGGACTCTTTTAGAAGCACAAATGACTATTAATCTAAAACATTTAGCCATTTAAAATCATTGGCCTATCCTTAAGAACCACTTGATAGCAGGCACTGCTAAAATTCCTGCAACACATTTGCTCTTGGATAGGAATTCCTAAAAGTAACAAAAGTGAATTTAAAAAAAGTGGGAAGGGGAACACCTATGAGATTATACTTTTGAATTCTATAAGAGATTTAAACCAACAATTCAAAAGTAGAGATAAAAGTCATAAAAATTAACTTCAACTGATAGAAAAAGTTATACTTTTGCTCAAAACTAAAATTATGTCACTTTTGTAAGAACTAACTGAAATAGCAATCATCTTGTCCAAGTTTAAAAAAAATCAAATATTCATGAAAGTATCCGTTTTCAAGCAAAAATACCTGAGGCAAAGCAGCAGTTTTTCAGTTTCAAAGTCTGTCTAGACATTTTATTTCCAAGAAAACTGTTTTTCAAAGTAGGGAAACTGTGAATTTAACTTGAATATTCATGCAGGAAAACAGATACCTTCAAGCAGTCATACTATATGCTATAGAAGAGTAAACAGATTTTGAAAGAATTGTTTTTACATTCATTAATGCACTGGTATAACTGAACTCCAGAAAAGAAGGGGAAGGTGTGGGAAAGAAAATTTAGAATTTTTGAAATTGTGTCAAACACTGTTTTGGTCAACTGTCTTTGTAAAACAGGTCAGACAGCATTTGGGGCTGGACCACTGAAATAAGGCTGGGTTGTTCAAAAGTCATCTAGGAAAAACCCATTGCAAAACTTAATTCAGGGGATAAAACCAGCATCCAGTTTATAGATAAGCTGGTCTGTGAGGTTTTTCTACTAACTTGGTGGAGTGTGGGGGAAGATGATTTGGTTTATAGAACGAAGCCATCAGATAAAGCCGGGCTTAGGAAAGCTGGATCAGCGCAGGGTTTGGTTCCACCATGAACCATTTATGTTACTTTGAGTAAATCTCTGTAAATTCAGTAAATTTGGTTAGACTCATGAAGAATCCCTCTGAGGAGTGCGGACCAGCCATGGTAACAATGACAGGAACTGCTAACACTTACCAAGCACTTGCTGTGTGCCAGGCCCTGTACAGAATGCTTTTCATGGATGGACTCATTTTATCTTACAACAACCTTTGAACTAATTGAGATGGTCTTCATGTTTGTGTTAATATATGTACATGTACAGGAAAATTCCTATCACAAAGCATTTTCTCTTATACCCAAATAGCAATTGCCATTAATAACCCTGCATTTGCCCTTTCTCTCCAATGGTGGTATATCCTTCTATGACTATGAGGACTGACTGGAGTCATATGTGCCTCTCAGTACTGTCATTAACTGGTTGTGTGCTCTGGAAAGTTGCCTACCATCTCTATGTCAGTTAGTTTCCTCTTCTGTAAGATGGGATAAAAATATTGCCTACCTTCTTAGTGGCATTGTGAGAGCTTTAAATAAGGTTCATGTAAAGCACTTGGCATAGTGCCTGGCATACAGACAATTTTAGGTATGTTCTTTTTTATTTTTTATTTATTTTTTAATTTAAAAATGGTTTTGAGTCCGTCTTGCTCTGTCGCCCAGGCTGGAGTGCAGTGTCATGCTCACGGCCACCGCAGCCTTGTTCTGCTCGGCGCAGGTGATCCTTTCGCCTTGGTCTTCCCAGTAGCTAGGACCACAAACAAGTAACACTATGCCTGGCTAACTTTTTGATTTATTGTAGACACAAAGTCTTGCCAAGTTGCCCAGGATAGTCTCAAACCCCTGGGCTCTGGCAACCCTCTCATCTCTGCCACCGTGGCTGGCTTTAGGTATGTTCTTTTATACAAATATGAAGAATTACTAATAAAGTATACCAGGAAAATAACTCAAAGTGCCATCAAGATTTACTCTGGCAATAAATGTCAACCTTCTCTAATTTATAAAAAAAAAAAAAATTCAACATTTTTACTTCATTATTCTTAACAGGCACAACTGCTCACGACCAACTACCACCATTGAGAACCTTCACTTATCAAGCACTCACAGGGCTTACTGCATGCCAGACACTGTTCTAAGGGCTTTAAACATATCTAATCATCAAACATCTCTAAAATGAGTACCACTATCATCTCCATGCTACTAAAGAGAAAATGAGGATTCAGAATTAAGTGACTTGCTCTAAGTCACACATTAGCAAGTAGAGAAGCCATGCTTAAACTCCGGCGATCTGACACCAAAGTCTGAGCTTTTAACCAACTTGGTTCTCCTGCCTTTGCTCTAACTATGAATTGTACTCATAGATACCCAAGCCAGGAGAGGAAAGATAAGGATTATTTTTTTATGTAAAATAACAA